GTAAATGAATAATGTTAATTAACTATGTGATTTATTAATAATATTATTAATATTATTATTATAGGTGCTTTTATAATATGATAAGAAGTTTATATATAAGATATACTAAAATTGCAAGAGTGTCTTATTAGAATAATAGTTGTGTAAGATAGTAAAGTATAGGATATTAGAAATTTGAGTAGGTGTAGAATTAAATATAGGATTAGACGTAGAATTAGACGTATAATTAAACATATATAGATTATTAAGATTTCATAAATAAATAAAAAGAAATATTATGAAAAAATTAATAATCCCAATTTAAATTAATAATTACATGCCTGCTTACATAACATTAACATTTAGCGGCGCATATCGGTTTTCTGTGCCAGCTTTGTCAATCATTGTGGCACAGATCTCATGATCCGCAAATCAGATTTCAAGGATCAGGTGTAATGTAACATGATCAGGAAATTTCAAAACAACCATTCATTTCGTTAAAAATCGCTTATTTCTCAAAAACCTGCATAAAAACCACCTTCAGTGCTATAACAAAAAATATTCCTTGAGTGATTTTACTATATAACCACTTAACTTCTAACCTTCTTCTAAATGCCAACCCTAACATTAATAAACTTTAAAAGATTTTGCCTGCGCCACATGATCGACAAACCTGGCACATGCTTTTAGCGGCAATTATTTTGAACTTTAATTATGAATTTGAATTAAATTTCGGTTCTTTTCATTATATAAAAATTTACAACTTTATTGGCTAATCAGCACGTGATATTTCTCATGATAAAAATTTATAATTTTGATTGGCTGAACCAATATGCATGATCGGGATCATCATTTCCTTATTTGGGACGTTCTCCCCTGTTTACGTAGCATATAGTATAAAAAAACGGTAAAAGCAAATTCCCTTTTTTAGATATTGAAGAAATTTTTTTCGGGGGGTCGCTTAAAGCCGTGTGCGGTCACGTGGCATAGAGCCAATAAAATTGTTTGATCGACACGGATCAAAAATACAAGAAACGAGTGTCTAAACTTACCTTGGGGCATTAATAAAAAATGTCGGGAACGCAATTTTACTATAAGATCTACCCTCACCTTAACCCTACACCAACCCTTACCCTAACTTTAACTAAACAATCAAAAACATATGACCGCACACGGCTTTAAGCGTGCACGAGTATAACACAAATTACCGTAAGTAGAAGAATGCTAACCGTATACAGTAAAAGCTAATTACACTACATGAACAAACTTATTACACAGCAAAATTGAATATTCTTAAAAATATATTAGTATGATTACATTGTGGAATTCATATAAAAAAACTAGCAATATCAAAATATTTGTCAGAATTGCTTTTTAAAAAAATAATTTAGACACATGTACATACCTGTGAGGCGAATGGTGGCAAAGAAAATGATGGCCTTCCTTTATAATCTTGAATATACTTGCATTTATAAACATGTCCTTTTCTTTTTGCAATACTGATTTCATATTCAACTGTATTTAAAACAAATTAATATGTTCGTGCACAACTTTATGTAATCCACTTCATGTTTGGTAAAAGTATATTTGAATTGGTCAAATTATAGAAATCTCAAAATCGATTATTATAAGGAGAAAATTTATGTTCTCAAATAAGCATTTTTTGCATTTTTAATGTTCTCAAAAATTTTTTAATGTACTTAATATTAGAAAATTAAATGATTTTAATGTTAAAAAAAATTATTAAATGTTCTCAAATAGAAAACATTTTCCAATAATTAATGTTCATAAAAATTGTTAAATGTTCTCTGAGAACAATGAAAACATTAAATTTTAAACACTACTCATGAGATGTGAAAATTGGCAATATATAACAAATATGATCATGCTGATCAACTGGATAATAGATTTTGTGGTCGAACTCTTTTATTCTTTTGTAACTATATACTTTGTAATTTCAGCACTCCGTTCCTGCTTCGCATCCAATAACTATATAGTATTCAGAAAGAAAAAGCAAGAACTTGCTCTCGCATGTAGTTTCCTTTGTGACTTGTTTGGAAAACTATAATTCATAAGTTTTAATACCGTAAAAATCTTGGAGATAATGAATTTGTAACTGATCATGCATTTTATAGGTGCATCAAGGGTTTTACATTTGCTTACCTTTTTTATGGTTTTTTCTTTTGACAGATTTTAAATACTAGGGCAAAATATACAAAATGCTTTCTTTATAAATTTATTATAGTGTAATCTTAAAAATAATATATAGCAATTTATAAAATTTAAATACTATTTTAAATTTAATTCCGAAATGTAAAACATAATAACAAGGGCTCCAGCCCACAAAATGTTGTCGTTTTTCTAGCTTTTAATCAATGTTTCTATCATTTTTTTTATTTGGTTCATGCTTTCACTAATAATCTCTTCTCTTAATTCTGGATTGGTTTAAACCAGGTGTATCAAGTATTGTTTTTGAAAATAATCGAGCATTTTTCCCAATTTTTGGTGACAGGATCATTCTTTATATGCAGTACAATTAATAAAAATAATCTTTAATAATGGGCTATAATAAATTTACAATTATTGTAAACCGCACCTATGGTGGTTTTGCACCTATTATATGTTTTTATTATGTTTTTTAAAATTTTCTAAGTTTTTATAAGTTTTGTATATAAAATATTTAACCCAAATTTTTTCACGTTAAAGTTTAGGATTAGGGTTTGGGAAGGGTTTTTGGGGCGTAGAACATTTTTACTTAGAACACCTCACATCGATTAATTAACCAGTTTTTGAGATAATGTATACACAGGTGTAAAACACCATAAGTGCGTTTTAGTAAAATTCTAAATTTATACAGTAAATACATTTTAATTCAATATTATTTTAAAATTTACATACGCCATATTTTGCTTTAAACTTGCAAGAATCTTTATCCAAAATATTTCCCAAAATATTTCCCAATGTGCTTTTTCCCGAACCTACAATTTAATATGTAAATTAATTTTATACATGCATTTTATAAAATCTAAATAATTACCGGTTTCTCCCAGTAAAAGGATTGTCGGTTCAGATACTGATAATCCATTGAAAATAATACGTTGGAGAATTATCAAAATCACTATCAAACAAGAAGTGATCATCAAAGTCGCCAAACAAGAAGGCAAATTGTATTTAATATATTTAATATGCCATAAACTTGATTTTCTATCCCTTTTCCAAGGTTTTTTAATTTTGAAAATCATCGTTTTTAAATAATTCATATTATTAGTAACTATAGCATTATATTCATCATAAATATCAGGGTCTGGTGCAACAACCCATCGATGGCAATATATTCATTAATAAAATTCGCAAAAGAATCTTCAATATTTTTAGGAGCTTCAGTTTGTACTTTGGTGCATTTTGTAAATACTATTATTACATTTTCATTATTTAATTTTTTCATGCATTCATCTAAATGAGACCTTCTATCTGATGCAAAACGCCGTCCTTCTATAAATACAAGTATGAATTAATAATACAATTATGTGCACGAAATATATTAAAAACATAAGAATTTGAAATGTACATGCCAAATACAAAGAGAAAAGCACGAATTCCATGTTCAAATGAATTATCGATAGCTTTATCAATTTCTATCCATGTTCTATTTGTACTAGTTTTTTCATTTGTGAACCCCGGTGTATCCACTAAGATAAAATTTTCTTCACCTATAGAAAGTTTGGCAGTTTTTAGTTGCTGCTGATTACGTCCCTAAAGATTTATTGAGATATATAAGGTAATGTTTGGAGAAAAAAGAAATACATCAATATAGCAAAAATTAATAGCATACAGTCATAACAACAAAAAATGTTAAAAATTGATTAATTAATAAATAAACAAGTAAATACATCTCCACCATGTCCGTCATAGGGTCCCTTATACTTTTCAAATAATTCGTTATGATTTCCGCATGCTTTTAATAGCATATTCCCGATAGTACTTTTTCCTACACCTAACAAAATTATATAAAATTAATAATAATATAGAGAATATACTGTTGAATATTTTAGCTAACATGCCTTCTCTTCCGACCAAAATTATAGAAGGAAATTCAAAATTTTTATCCATAAATCTCTTTTAAAAATTGTTAAATTTCTAAGTTTAATTATTATCCAAACTTATAATATAGTTGCAAAAAAAACTTGTGTCTCAGATTATACAATTATATAGACAATAAATTAAGCACACTATAAAAATAGGCTATCATTACGTGTCAACAAAAATGAGTTATTGTTACGTGATAACAAAAATACGTAAGTTATTGTTAAGTGATTGATTGATTTTTAATATATTTGGTTTTGGTGTTAAAAATATTATTTAAAGAAATTCCATCTACATTTCATAGGCGAGATGATATATTTGCGCAAAAAAAAAA